ATGTACATGTACATTGTACGTCACGGTGAACATTATTTTACAGCCTCTTTAACGGGCAAAATAAACACATTCAATATGAATAATTTCCCCAAGGGTTCCACAAATTCTCAACTCAGATCAAACGTTCCTTTCAACTCAAACGTACATTGTATAGTGTACATGTACATGTACGTCTACTTTCTGGCCATCACTACCAGTACAGTCTGTGTGTGCATACAATGTAAAATTACATTATACAATCATGTACATGTAGATGTTGTTTGGAATGACATGTGATTGTGAACCATTCAGCACTACTGAACTAACACTTGTGCAGCCGCAAATCTACTTTGCGGCAAAGTCTGGCCTTGCGCCTGGTATGTACGAGTATCCCTATGGACCCTAATTCCGGACCCGTGGTAATATTATTAATTTTACATGCACAATGTACATGTAAAATGTAGGTATGTACTCAGATGGAGAGCCAAGGTTTAGTTTATACAAAAGAAAAAAGACCAAGGAACTACAAGTTACGCTATACTGTCCACTAACACCACCAGTTACTAAACAATCAGCTCATGCGATAACATTGCACGACACTGATCGACGGTACTGACGTTCTACAACTAACTGTCTAACAGCTCTAGCACATCTTGGATGCGCACTCCAACAGCCTTCCAACTTAGAAGGTTTTAAGTTATAGAAGTAACATAAGGAGGGGAAGGTGAGCGCAACCAAGATAAGCACGAGCTGAAAGTCTCAGCTGTGAAGGACGTTATGTAACTTCTATAACTTAGAACCTTCCAAGTTGGAAGGCTGTTGGAGTGCGCATCCAAGATGTGCTAGAGCTGTTAGGCAGTTAGTTGTAGAACGTCAGTACCGTCGGTCAGTGTCGTGCAATGTTATCGTATGAGCTGATTGTTTAGTAACTGGTGGTGTTAGTGGACAGTATAGCGTAACTTATAGTTCCTTGGTCTTTCTCTTTTGTACAATGTACATGTAGGTAGAAATGGTTTTATTCATGACTTTTGGTTAGAAAACCAGTACTGTAATTTCACAAATTTTCGGTGTGCTTTTATTTTCGGTACTTTCGGTGCAGCTGTTTCATACCTAAAATTTCAATACACCGAACAAACACTAACACGCATACTCCCATAGGGAACTGCTTCTCTGTACCGAAAATTTCTGTTCACCTAACCTGGCCTTTTGCCCTCATACCGAAAAAATTGAGCACCGAAAATTTCTGAAATTAGAGTATTAGATAAACCTTGTTATAGTTCACGCAAATGTACAATCATGTACTGGTGCATGTGCATGTAGCTTCTTTCTGGAATAAAAAAAGCTTTTTGGTCGCGGTCTATCACAACATTTTTGTAAAGTTATTTCGTGCCCCCTAACGTCAGTAATGAATATAGCGAAAGTTCATTCCAAACGAAACTTTGTACTACACTACAGTTGTAGTTACTATTACTTATACCATTGTACACGGTAGATCTGCATGTACATGTACATGTACATAATAGACCCTTTGCACAATAACAGTCACGTGATCCGAGACGGGGCATCCTCTTCGATTTTTGTGCAGAGTATCAGTTGTTGAGCATGGTGAAACACTGTATTTTTCCATTTTGGAGATGGAGGAGAGAGTGTCGAGTGGTTTGCCATCGATGGCTGTGGAACCCGTGGAGGAGCCGTCAAATAAAGAATGGTCTGTGAAGGAACTGAACAGGGTAATCATGCAGTTTAGGGTCCCAAATTATTGCGCACTTTCCCAGTGTTCAGTGTACTGTCACACGCGTTTTCAGTGTACTTTCACTATGCTTCTTCTTTTCTCATGTGAAAGTTTTGTTTCCTTTGTCAAAGTTTTGTTTCCTGTGGATTCTGCCTGGCTCGCGCATCAACTCTGACGGCTGGGCCGCATACGCGCAGATCAGGAACATCGACGGTGGCGTATACCAGCACGATGTCGTGGTCCATGACGACAACTTTGTTGATCCGGACGACCGAACGATCCACACCAACAACGTGGAAAACATGTGGATGCGGGCCAAGCGCCAGCTGAAGCGCAACTTCGGCGCCTCGCGAGAGTTGTTCCCGACGTACCTCTGCGAGTTCGTATGGAGACAGAGAGTTCGCGAGGAAGACAACACGTTCGGCTCCCTGCTCCGCAGTGTTCACCAGCAGTACCCAGTCTGATCTGTCCTCGGTTTTCATGAAATTAAGTTCATGATGTGAAAGTACACTAAAAATGCGTGTGACAGTACACTGAACACTGGGAGATAATTTGGGACCCTAAACTGCATGATTCCCCTGAGCAGTTTTCTGCTGAATGAGGGTGCGTATCTGTCTGGAAAAAGAAGGAGCTATTGGAGCGGTAAGTTTTCGGCAGTCAGTGGATATTTCGGATTACTGTAGATTGAAATCTATTTTTATTTTCTCTACCTTCTCTCCTCTGTCGATGTAGAGAACGCTTCTCTATGCAGAACCCTGATGCTCCTAGAACTAAGAGGGGCACCAGTCTTCCTCGAGTGTACCTTCATCATGCCCAACTTTGTCATGCGTCCGAGTGGATGAGTGATGAACTTCTGTTTCCCAGAGTGAGTGCCACACCATGCGTGCTCATCTCCAACGCAGGGGCAAGTCGCCGACGACAGTGAAGAGGGCTAGGGAGCTGATGGAGTAGTACTAGTGAAGAAGCCCGTGGATAGTTTCCATGAGTTTTACTTTGGTGGCTACGTGCATAATGTGAAAGTCTGTCATATCGTGCACACAGCCACAGCTCGAGCTCAGATGACTTTCTCCGCACACCTGAGCGATGAGGCTGCGTCGCTCTGCACTTCAACATCAGCAGCTCGAGCAGCGCCAGCAAGCAGTGGATCTTCCTTGCAAAGACAGGGATGGGTCATGCCTATTTCTCAGGCTCCGGAGTCTCTTGGCAGGGCGTTCAGCGTCTTCGCAAAAGCAAGGATGAAAGTCGTCACCGACAAAGTGTTCCGAGCACAACACTGTGAACGATGTCGCAGCAAACTGCGGCCCTCTTCTCGCCAGAAAGGGGGGATTCAAGAGTGTGGAATGCCAGCATAACCAGTGAATGCATGGAAAGACAGGTGGGTTTCTTAGACTAGCCACTAGGGATGACGGTTGCTGCAAACAAGAACCCAACAGTGGTCCTTGGAAAGCATTTCGGAACTTCTTTCTTCAGAACTAAAAAAACTTCAAATGAAAAAGGCTGGGAAGTACATACATGAACATCGCGTCTGGACCGTGAAAACACTGCCTGTCACAGGAAACTTGATCACGTCCTGCAGCAAACCATGCATGCTGGTTGCATGCCAAGTGTGCAGCGCGTGCACAGCATGCCCCGTACCGTCTCGATCGACCCCTAGGCGCTAGGCCCTCTCGCTTATTGTGCAAAGGGTCTAATAATAATACTAATAAGTGCTGTACATGTAGGTCAGAAGGCGAATTCGAAGCGAGCGAGAAAGCAGCACTACAACTACATGTACATGTACACAATACATGTACGTACGTAATCAATCATTCATTTGTACAAGTGCCACTCATTAGCACGCCCGCCAGACTACACCGCAGGCGCACGACTACTCTCTGCTGACCAACTCCAAATCGAAGCCTCCAGCAACAAAGACAAAGCAAAACGAAAATAATATTCTGTCCAGAAAGCAGAGCATGGAAGACGTGTCGACACGTGACATGTCATAGGCTGCGATAACCATGATAACAGCACGAGCGCTCAGGCGCCTAGGCGTAGCCATCCAACGCCATTTTGCACCATGGCAACGCATCTTCGGCAATGAGTGTACAGTGTATGTGTATAGGCAGGCCAAGGCTGGTTTCCTAGGATTCGACCCCACTCAGCCTGGGTAGATCTATCCGTAACCGTAACCAGGTAACCGCCATCAAGAGTAGATCTACATGTACACGAAAAGCGTTTGCCGCCATGCATTCACGATCACCATGATCACCGATCGGAGCCGCTGAAGGTAATCCGAAGGAGCACGGACCGGTTGTACTTGCACACCACTGCCACCACTTGAGAGACTACAGTCAATGATGTCATGTACAATAATTATTTTTTACAATTTCTTTATTTACAATGGAAAATTATTTGTTTCTAGTGTAGAGACTGCCAGTGCAGTAGGGGAGACTTTTATGGCGGAAACAGTTTGCTGACTACAGCATTTAGCTATCATGTACATGTACATTGTACTTATAATGGTACATACAATACTACTACATGCACATAATTGTACGTGTATGATGAGTCTATCGTCCCCAAAAAATGCTGCAAAATGAAATGGTAGTCAACTACTTAGTACATATACATACTGGTATGTGCAGCATTGGGCGGATTTCAGTACATATACATACTGGTATGTGCAGCATTGGGCGGATTTTTCCGCGACGATAGGAGCACTACTATGCTGTAAGACATGTTATTATAACGAGTCGCAAATTTAACAATTGTCCAAAATTCATAGGTTAACGAGAAGATATGTTAACGATCTTGCAGTATTCTGCCATATCCACACACAGCATATATGGAGCAGTACGGCCTCAACGGATCTATTATAACGAAGAAATGTCATCCGTTAAACGTTAGATTTGCTTCCTCGTTATTTTATATACATGTCTTACAGTAGTGTGGTGTAGTCATATGTTGTTGTGTTGTTTGTGTGAGAGCGGCTTCCCTGGAGAGGGAAACGATAGAGTGGTCATTTTTAGACAGGTTCCTGTACATCACAAGATCACGTACATGTACTCGGTACAAACCAGAAAAAAAATGGTGATTCTGAATAATCACTGATGGGTGATTCTGAATGATCACTATGGCAAAGAAGCGGGAAGTACGAAATAGTGAGTACAGCGCTGTATGAGTATCTTAGCATAAGTACACCTGTTACACCGTGTTCACGGAAGCCCTGGCTGGTCCATGCTGTAGACTGAAAACGCTACGAATACGTGGTAGCAAAGCATGCACAGTTGGCAGAGCGATCACTCACCTTGCGTCGGCGGGGGCAGGCAGTCGCTCAGAATGTTGTCGTAGAGGCCGCTCTTGGTGCACTTGACGGTGGTGACGGCATTGTCGGGCAAGCGCAGACCCCGACTGGCATCGCACTCAACGCTCACGCTAGTCAGCACTGCTACCTTGGCGGTGGTTGACCAGAGGGGCCGGCTGTAACGCAGCGTGCCAAAGGAGAGCTGCTGGTACGGGAAGCAGCTGATCTCGCCACACGCTGTCATTACACAGAAGTCAGAAAGATGCAGCAGAAAGATCAGTTACATGTAATCCTTTAAAGTATGTAACACGGCGAGTAAGGGGAAATACCACAAACACTGCAAGTGCTTAACCCTTTGAAGCCCAAGGACGAGTATACTCGTCCCTAGTGATTTCCCAAGGACGAGTATACTCGTCCAAAACGCGCACTGGTTACGCATTGAGCATAGATCACTGTACAAAGCTTCGTATCTCCGTTGTCCTTTCTTTGATTTTCACAAACGATAGCTTGTTGGAAAGGTAAGGAAAAGACCTTTCCAGCGGTGTGTCACTTGTGGCAGCGCGATGCGAAATACCCGAGCGGCGAAGACCGGAACGCGGTTGAATACTTCTAAACTTTAGAATTTTGAAATTTTCGAGTAGAGCTCGTGTGCGCATGGGGTTTCCCCATGACTCATACCAGTGCAGCCCATGCGCGATGGGTACCAAGATGACCGCTTGAGCTTCAGCAGCACGGAGAACTTTGAATCGTTGTTTTGTGTTGAGTAAAAGTCATGAACCGAAGGAAATTGTCACTGTGGGTGGTGTATCTCGTTCAGGCGCGATAGAGCTGCACTCAAGGGACTTGGAGGCGCTTCTGTTGCTTCTGCTTAGTGTCTAGTCTTTATCTTTGGTTGGAGGAGATCACAAGCTTTTCAGGGAGCTCCAGATCATGAAATTCCAGTGCTGGTGAGTGAATTATGAAATTTTGAAGTCGACCATCCGTGGTTGCGTGCAGCGCGGTGCGAGTGCCTGGGAAATCAGAAAACCCAGCTGGGCTTCAAAGGGTTAAAGACCATAGACAAGGGGTCATCTTCAAATATGTGTGTGTGTGTGTGTGTGTGTGTGTGTGTGTGTGTGTGTGTGTGTGTATGTGTGCGTATGTGTGTGTGTGTGTGTGTGTGTGTGTGTGTGTGTGTGTGTGTGTGTGTGTGTGTGTGTGGTGTGTGTGTGTATGTGTGCGTATGTGTGTGTGTTTGTGTGTGTGTGTGTGTGTGTGTGTGTGTGGTGTGTGTGTGTGTGTGTGGTGTGTGTGTGTGTGTGTGTGTGTGTGTGTGTGTATGTGTGTGTGTGTGTGTGCACGTGTGTATGTGTGTGTGTGAGGAGGGTAGAACATTTGAGATAGGCATCGGAATTGATGAGACAACCATCACGACGGCTAGAGAAAGCAGTACGTAGGTAGCCAAGTTCTAAAATCTTTACCTTCTCCTCGCTGACAGCATCGTCCCTTCTCGGCATCATAGACTAGGTCTGCGTTCTCTGGAGATACATTGCAGACGTACGACCCCAGCGTGTTCTTACACATACCGCAGTGACGCTCGCACTGGTGTAGTCCGGCTGAACACTCATCTTGATCTGCATATACACACACATACCAACAGAAACACACACACACACACACACACACACACACACACACACACACATACCACCAGAAACACACACACACACACGCAGAAAAAAACAGAATCAATGCTGTGCCAATGTATGTCACCAGACTGCCCCAGTTTGCAGCTGATACAGGCGGCATTGGTGCGTGACAACGACTCGATTTTCTCCACCGGCCTAGACTTTTGAAATAACATGCTCAGGGTTTTGTTCCTGTTGAGTAAGCAAGGTCTCAGTAGTATTTGGAGTATTGAACCTGGCACTTGTAAACATAATCTTGTTGCATCGGGACTCGACTTACCAACACACGTCGGAGGAGTTGGCGGGTTCCATCTGCTGTTCTCGCAGATGCTGACCCGGCGGCCGTTGACCACGTAGCCGTCGTCGCAGTCAAACGTCTGGTACTGTATGCCGTTCTGCATGTCCAGTGCCGTTCTGCCGCGGTCAGGTGTTGGCAGCACGGTGCACCGCAATTCTGCGAGCCAAACACAATGTGTAGGAAAACAGGAAAAGAAGCGTCACTCCACGGCAGAGAATTCAGTGGTAGACCGTGTGCCGAAAAATGCCTCAAGGAAAGCATCAACCACTTACTGCAGGGATGCGTACATTGAACACCGTGCAGGTGGAAAATTTCTTCGGTCAATAATTTCGTCCTAGGCCAAAGAAGGGGAGTTCGTCCGGTTGAAAATTTGGTCCAAGGATCATAAGAGCGTATTGAAAAGCCGGACAAAATCGACATTAGTCCGGCATTCGATTTAGTCCAAGAGCTCCCTGGACGAAAACGATGAAATTTAATTCCAGACGAATATTTCTGCTTATACAGCCCACTACATTTTGCACACAGGCATATGTTGTTGTGTTGTTTGTGTGAGAGCGGCTTCCCTGGAGAGGGAAACGATACCCATTGTGTTTACTGTCATCAAGAGTGCAATAAATGGGACTTTGATGTCTAGCGAGGTGAAGTGGTGAAGTATCCATGACTTACTCATTTCGCATTGGTCTCCAGTGAACCCGTCAACACACCGGCACTTGTTCGGCTCAACACACGCACCTCCGTTCTGGCACGGCCGATTGCACGTGGCTGCATGCAGCACACACACATACACACGAAGAAATCCAACAAAGAGATCAGCGGTGGACTTTGAGAACAATTTGCAACCCGTTTGAGAAGAGCCTAACGTGCTCAGTAGCTGATCAGCAAACTTGCAGCACACACTATCACATTACAGTAAAACCTTTCAAGGCTTCCACTCGGATAAGGCAAACACTTGTCCCAGCATAGCACTGCAAGCAGGGACAAGGGATGCTATTTCGGAGCATTTCCAGTCAAATGACCCTGGAAAAGAAGATCACCTGGCCACAGAGTGGTCATTTTTAGACAGGTTCCTGTACATCACAAGATCACGTACATGTACTCGGTACACACCAGAAAAAAATGCATCGCCTACCGACACAAACAATAGACTCAAGAAAAGTTAGCAATATTTTCTCACACAATTCGAAGCAAGTTCGTATCATGTGCACAGCCCTTACTAACTTACGTATTGTGCAACGTCCAGTGTCATCCTCGGACCAGCCACGGTCGCACTTGCACAAGCCAAAATACAGGTCGAAACTGAAGTCGCTTTGATTACAAACTCCTTTGACGCAATGGCCTTTCAACCCAGTATCCGTGCAAACTGAAAAGAGAGAAAAAGACGTACAAATCCACATTGTGTCCCACGCTCAGAGATTTAAAAAATTAAGTACAAATCTTTCGAGGCAAAAATTCAAGTTACATTATTTTGAAAGTAGTTGGCAACTGTTCTCCCCGCACTGTTTTCCTACTCTCTATGCTATACTACAAAAGAAGGACGCCATAGCAACACATATTCTAGAAAGCCTTGCTTCTAGAAATGAAGTTTGTCATAGCAACACATATTCTAGAAATGAAGTTTGCCATAGCAACACATATTCTAGAAATGAAGTTTGCCATAGCAACACATATTCTAGAAATGAAGTTTGCCATAGCAACACTTGGGGAGGATGTACTGACCTTTATCGCAAATAAGGCCATGGCGAAAGGTAGCGAGCGTGCAATCGCATTTTCCTGATGTAACGTTACAGCGAGTCAAGCCCGAGGGTGCGATGCAGTCGTCACTTGTGCGACACTGACCTGCAGGAGAAAAGACCACACGGAGAGACAGGAATTGAATTGAAGTATACTGCAGGGGGTCAGTGGTTGTATGTTTCAGGTCTGGACAGCCTTTGACAGGACACCCACTGCAACAACGACAGCGGTCGGAAATTCCACAAAGAGATGTTGATAAGAATCGAATTTATATAACCACGACAACTGTATTGTATCACCTGCCTACTCAGCATGGCATTAGTCCAGTTACCAGGATACCTAACATTCTGCATTGTCAGCCAGGTCACCAGGTATCAATTCAATTAGAGCAATAAGCATTACATGAAATCACACTAGGGCAGTTTTCCAGTAGCATGCAGCCGACAAGTCAGCAAGGCACACATAATATAATACAGTGCTGAAAAGTACGCCAGCAAAATCTACACCAGCCACAAGAATCAATGGTTACACTGGAGCTCCTTCCAATGTGAGTGTGTTCGGCCTAATTCGCACCTAATAATCATAGCACACTGTCACATTCTCCGCCTTCACTCCACTCTTCGTGTAACTCAGATTCCACAACAGACTGCAAGCAGTCCTTGTGGAATCTTCAACTGTCACAAGCAGTGGAAGATTCATCATCTAGATAATGTAATAATATACTTTATCTGTGTGCTATCCTTAAAGTTATGTGTCACAGAGTGCACACCTGACGCATCCTTGCTTGTAGCAATTACTTCTGAACTGCATGCGGCTGGGAAGGCACTTGTGGAACTAGTGACGCAGTAGCACATTAGTGAAACTTGGAAGTTGTATGGGTGTCAACTTGAGGGTGACTTCTGTCCTTCCCAATGTGAACCGTAATGCCTTCCGGGCTACATTAGTAGTAGTACGGGGGGCCAGGGCTGAAAAAAGTCCTTCAAAAAAAGTTTCGTTCCGACTTTTAGCGCACAACAATTTGACACCACAGAGTCATAGCGGGGGCAATACAGACATGAAATCTAAAAAAACCGCTTCGAAAAGTGAATGGAAGGTCCCGAACGAGGTGATTTTGTCCTCCACTCGGCCAGTAGGTGCGGTATGCCCTGGAAGTCGTAAAATAATGACTTGCCAAGACAGATGAGACTTCCCTACACAACCCCAGTGCAGGCCCGCTGCACAAAACTTCAGTCCTGGTATTGTTGACACGCAGGTGATGGTTTCGGCACCTCGAAGGGCCCGGGCAACAATTTCGAAAGTGGAGTAGGGTGTGGTATGTTGACTGGGTTAACTCTCTCTCTCTCTCCTCCGATCGACTTCCGAGTCGGTCCTGGTATTGTTGACAAGCACGTAGCGGTTTCGGCACCACGAAGGGGCTGCACCTCTAGCACTAACAATGTGAGTTTCACGACGGTAATCTGGCGCCATCATGGAGGTGCCGGGATGTCGGAGGGCAACTCGGCAAAGCGTCTCTGCTCCCGTCGTCGAGTCAGGAAGGAAAGATAGCATTTTTCTGTCGAAAGTTGTTGCTTGGAAAGAAGCACAAGTACCAAAAGACATCTCAGTGCCAATCTCTCAACGCAGCCCAGAAAGTGCTCGATGCAGCTGAGGTAAGAGAGGACAACGCAATTCATTTTCATGCCTTTCATGCCCGATTGCTCGAGAGGTAGATCTACATTGCCATCGTGACTGTTTCTGCCACTATACGCGAGTTTTGGAAGACAAAAATGACATCGATTTATCGGACAGTACAGGTGGAGAGGCGCAAGTGTTGGCTAGCTTCCTTGCAGTAGTCCACAAGAAAGACTTGTGGCACAGGAAAAGAAGTTCCTTGATCCCATTCCAAAATTGAAGCTCGGAACATTCTCAAACAGAAAGTCACGAACGCCAACCAGCCAGAGCAAAGCAGTATCTGTATTGCGTGCCGACTGCGCTCTTTTCAGCAAGATGGCTGTTATTGCCCAGAGTCGCCATATGGATGTTCGTCAAATTCTCTCGTACCCATTGGGCGGATCAGCACCGTTATCTCTCTGTACCTCAGATGGCACACTAGTGAAAACTAACAAGTCTGCACTGCTCCAGTTGCTCGTGAAGGTTTCTGATGGTGTATGTCCACCCGGAAATACTCCATCTGAGTCAAGTGCTCTCATTGTTGATGCTATGGCTGTGTTGCAAGCCATGAGCCAGAAATCACTACCTGCTACCTTCTCTGACCATGCATATCACATCTTCATTCACTGCTCACCAAGGCTGGAAACTAGTGGATGGCAAGCTCCAGGTTGACTGGTTGTCCCTGGAGCCTGCTCCCACAGCCCTAATGGAGTTTGTTAAATACTGCTCCATCTGATATCCGCACTGCTACATCGCCTATTTCGCCATGCATTACTTTCATTCTTAGGGTACCCCGTAAGAAGACCTTGAGTCTGTGGGGACTGCCCCATGAAAATATGATTAAATAATATTAATAATTTAGCTCGTAGTTGTACTGATGAGGCCTTTATGGCCGAAACAGCTTGCTGTCTATAGCATTGGGTATCACGCTCCTCGGCTTTCGCCTTGTTGAGCACTCTCAGTAGGCTGCTCTAGTGCTGCTGCATCGCGCAATGCCCGCTACATTTTGTAGTTTGAGCACTCTGGCGCTAGAGCGACGAGCTACCTTAATGTCTGTGGTGCCTCCTTTGCACCATGGCTGGTAGCTCGGCCTATTTAGCTCATAGCTGTACTGATGAGGCCTTTATGGCCGAAACAGCTTGCTGTCTACAGCATTGGGTATCACGCTCCTCGGCTTTCGCCTTGTTGAGCACTCTCAGTAGGCTGCTCTAGTGCTGCTGCATCGCGCAATGCCCGCTACATTTTGTAGTTTGAGCACTCTGGCGCTAGAGCGACGAGCTACCTTAATGTCTGTGGTGCCTCATTTGCACCATGGCTGGTAGCTCGGCCTATTTAGCTCGTAGCTGTACTGATGAGGCCTTTATGGCCGAAACAGCTTGCTGTCTACAGCATTGGGTGATAATAATAATAGTAATAAATGCGGCTGCAAAACAGGCTGTGACGGAGGCCGCTGCTCCTGCAAAGCACAGTCTTTGCATTGTACTGATGTTTGTGGATGCAGCGCTGCAGATAGCTGCCAGAACAGGGCCAGTGATCTGGGCAACTACAATTTATACCTGCCACTATAGCATGAGATTGAGTTTCAATTACGTACATCTACATTACGCAATGCCCGCTACATTTTGTAGTTTGAGCACTCTGGCGCTAGAGCGATGAGCTACCTTAATGTCTGTGGTGCCTCCTTTGCACCTTGGCTGGTAGCTCGGCCTATTTAGCTCGTAGCTGTACTGATGAGGCCTTTATGGCCAAAACAGCTTGCTGTCTACAGCATTGGGTACAATACATACATGTACACATCCATGGACAATATACACGTAAGAGTATTATGCTTTTTTATATTCCTTTCTGGCATTCCTGCAGTCTGTATATATCCCAATGGTCCTCATTCCAGATCGTGTTCACTTGATTTTAGTCAATCGTTTTACAACATTACTGTAGGCTAAAAACAAGAATAACACAGTAGTTGCTATGGTGTTGCTATGCAGTTGCATGGTTGTCATGCACTAAACTTCAACGGCTAATTTCAGCACCTTCCACCACGTTTCGAGGGTCAAAAAATATAATATAGTTGAGCTCCTTGTGGTCCCCTCTACACGTTGAAACTCTCAAAAAGTTGTGCGCTCTCAACTGCAACGAAAGTAAATGTTTTGGGCACCTGGCCCCCTACTACTAGTGCCAGCCAGGTACATCACAACAAACTCTTTATGCCAAAATGAGATGTTAGCTCAGAGTCTGGGACCGGTGTGGTGAAAGTTGAGCTGTTCTGGTAATGCTACACATACACTGCTCATTTCTCAGCGACAGAGTCACCATGAACTCACACAAAGACATTACACATGTTCCCTTGCTATTCACAAGGAGTGTTTGAATTACACGGGCAAACATTACAGTCGATAATAGGCATATTTTAGGACACAAATAATCTAACCCCTGCTACTTTTTTCTCGAGTGTCGCCATTTCCAAGTGTGCCCCAGCTATCCATGTTATTTCCCCATCCACTTGGAAACCTAGGGCCTAGTAGGCAGAGCACCACACTCTAGTCGTACTTATGATGCTGAACACTCACTCCTGTCACAATAGTGAGTCACGAAAGTGTGGTAGAGCGAGCCAGATGCAGAGCCAATGAGAGGCTTCTAGATGCAGATATCTGTCACCCCTCTCCAGGCTGTCCAGCCCTGCACACACTCTGGCAGGTAGCTATTGAAACAGGAGTGTCAAGTGGTCCACTCGATATCCTCTCTCTCTCTCTGGCAAATTGCTGTGCACAGCATGGCTCCAAGGTCATGAAAGAAGCCGCTTGCAACTGCCAACAGGCCGCTACAAAAAGGATTGTGCTCCCACAAAACTGTCTTTTCACACCCTTAGCTTAAATTCAAAGAAAACAGAACTTTCCTATGACTGTCTTATTAATATTCAGGAAGTCACATCCATATTTGAGCAAAATGAAGGTGGCTGCAGAATTCAGCTGTGCTGAATCGTGACAACAATAATGATATGTCGGAGCGCCATCGAACAAGGATCAGTTTGCTCATGCCAATATGAACCCAGGCAGGATGGTAAATTTCAGCCCCAGGGGTACACCGTGCAGTCAATGACTGGTGCCTAGTACAAAATTCTCAATTCACCAGCATGACACTGTGCACGTTTTCCCTGCCCTGTCCTAAATCTGGAGTTTGTCAGTCTCACACCCCTCACCATCCCATTTCATCCAGAAATATCTCGGACACGGAGCAGGTCCACTTTCATCATGACGCAGTATCAAAATGCCCACGCTGAAGTCCATGTCCCATTAACTCTCTCCAGGACAGGCAATTCCCCTACTAAAATATCGGATTCCTCGACCCAGCTGGACTTCAGCCCATATGTCACACAACAGGCTGCTCCGACAGATCCTACTCTCGCAAAGCAAAGTTCCACCCAGGGAAGCAAACGACTATCACTCATAATTCATTGCTTTCACCTTTCGACGCAGCAGTGCTACACAATCATGTACACGTGTTTCTATTGGAGGAATGATTCACCGAACGCCTGAAGAGAAACAATACAAGGATAGATTAACCTCAGCAAGTGTTTCAAGTCTGACTTGTCCGCCCCCGTGGATGCCACTTCACGTGCTCAAAGATCATATCCCCAGATTAGCTCAAGTAAGATTATGATAGCACAATAGGTGTATCGTATCTTTGTTCAGCAAGTATACCTCCTTTGGCATTTTCGTTTCTTCTTCCACCGACGTCTTGTGCATATTCAGGCAATTGTGAACACTACATGGGGTACGTGTCTGATTTCATATACCCCATCACAAGCCGGAGCCTTTGTCACCAGACACATGGTTGTATGCAGATCATCTGCAGACATTGGTTATCTTTCCAGTCCCACGGGGGGGGGGGGGGGGCAGAGACACAGCGCAGAAGTACTTAGCTTCAGGTATGTGGCAGCAGGAATAATACAGTGGGAGACATTACCAAATAAATGCTTTGCCTGCCTAAATTAGTTATCACCCACACTGACTGCATTACAATCTAGTTTACAACTGAAGACGTATGCACTGTAAACAGCAGCACACGATCCGTCCGTGTTGCTTGCTCGACCAGGGCCACTGGCTGCATGAGCACATATCAATCAAGGCTAGTGATGCAACGGATATCAGGATATGGCCTATTCAACAGTAATCAGAGAAGAAGAGGCACATCTGTAGTATCCCTGACTGTCAGTAATCACACAGCCACATCTCTACCAGTAGTTACATTGTAGTTCACAGGTACATTCTATCTAAGTACTTCTCACGCGCAACCACTTAGGACTAGATAGCCCTGCTTGCAAGACCGGTAAGGCATGACCTATTGCGTTCATGCTGTACTAATACATTACATTGATTCCTGTATAGTCCGTTCCCCATCACTGACCCTCTTGATCCCTTGGGAGATTCCTTCCCGGTTCTAGGCATCCAACAGCTTTCTTCCCCGAATCCATGTTATTGTTCAGCCCTAGCTCACACACATTCAAAGGTCTTTTCCTTAGATCTTTCAACAGTTGTCTTCCTAGTAATCTTTTGCCCTCGCTCCCAGCTGCTCTCTCCCTCTGGCCTATATAAACCCATCATTCTTTCTCATTGCTGTGTGGAATTATGAAGTGAAGAGTCTAAGCCCAAGAGCTTGTTTTCCTCCCGCTAGTGCTGTCAGCCTGTATCACTTTCTGTTGTAAGTCCAAAGTGCCTCAGACACGATCAGCAACAACAATTATCTTATGTCACCAGATCAATTCTAGTGGTGGCATCCAACCTGAACTGATCGCCAGGAAGAGTCGATCAATATTTACTTATTGCGAAGAGAAAGTGCAGCTACGTTCTCACGAAACGAAGGTGTGCACAATGCTAGTATGCAGTCCATTACCCCAGGAATATCCTCCATTTTAAAATTATAACAATGTTCATACATACTTTGGAGATCTGGGAACTAATTTATGGGTGCGCTTTATGGGTTTTGTCGCACACACATTCTCCACTCTACAGTGTTCTATAGAATCCTGAATGGGACCATCATTATCCAGTGAAGCCCAGGTAATTTGAAGACATGAAGCCATTCTAATGTCTAGCTAGAACGAGGACAACTTCATCTACTACAGGATGAACAAGCAGTGAAGTCCCCCGACTCTTGCTGCGCTGAACGGGATATAGTGAGTGTGCAGTGCACGGCGTTTAGAACAAGCAGCTGAAAGATCTGCCAAGATACACACACCGGGGGAGAGTGTTACAATGTAGTTGTGGGAGTGTGGGTCATGAAAAACGTGAACAGCATGAACGAGCCCGACAGTGTTACACGCACAGCTTGGGTGCACTGATACTACTCCGCTCCAGTAGAGCAAACATTCGTCACCGCACAGGCTGCTACAGCGCGCCGATGATCCGTGTGGCACCTCCGTTTCTAGCGGACACCTGTTTGACTTCGGGGCTAGATTGCCCCGTACGTGGCAGGAGTATACACGGTCAACACATATCACCCCGTTCACGGCCTGCATGTCCGCGGAAGCATGGCCACGGGAGGATGCATGCGGTCAACATGGCCACGCGGGGATGCACAATGACACGTGAGCACAGCCCCCAACACCCCGGACTATTCGTCAGTCACATGACAATCATCAGGAAGAAGGTTGTACACGTGTGGAGTTTCCTCTTGCCCATCACAAACACTGATACAAAACACTGGTAACACTGCGAAAACATTGGATGCGTTTCAGCCAGTTACTCGAGCTCCACTGCTGAGACCTAACAAAGTCACAACAGCTAGCCGCCCGGATATTGGGTAACAAGTATACACAATACTTCATTGGACGTCACCGTCAAAGGTCCAGTCATATCTCAATCCAAAACTCCACCCTACGTGAAAGTGCGAAAATTATGCCTGTCTAACAGACTCCCCCCCCCCCCCCCCCCCTCCCGAGGCTAAATGCTCATTCACACACTAACAACAATACAACCGTATCTTCAGCAAAGTTGGTGTCAATTTAGCTGATGGGCGGGCATAAGAAAGATTCCATGTGCAATAGGGAGGAAGGAGGAACACCTTCTAGAAATTTAACCCCACAGAACAAAGTTTAGCAAGGCAAGGGAAGCTACTAGTTATTTTTTCTATTGGGGACGCAGGTTGAGCAATACATTGTTCGCCAAGTCATATCAGGAATACATTGATTGAATGCCTTTTTTTGCTCAGTGACCTGGTTGCCTTGTCTACTACAAGTACAGAATAATGACTGGTGCAGAGCAAGAGTTTTCTATGCAGTTCTGCGTGCACTAACTACTGGTACACAGACAACCACCTTGCACACCAGGCATTCAGTCACACCATGTCCCTCCCCCCAGACCATACAATACAGTCATTATACAAAACTCAACAACACCAATGGCAATGATCAGAGCAGTTCACACCTGCACGCAGAGAACTACACACAAGTACACACACGTAACAAGGATGTAGGTACTGAGTACTGCTGGGTACAGTAACAGTCACACAAAACCAGCCATGATTGTTCTCTTGATTGTTTGAGGCAGTGGAAACACATAATTATTTCCAGACGTTGTCTCTATTCTTGTGGATCTAAACACCGCAATTGATTACCCGGAGGAGAGTATCTCTGGCAACAACACAGCAACCATACACTCGCCACTACTGGAGCCTGGACAAATGTTGCTCTATAATTCGTAAAATCATGCTTGCCCAGTCTAGTAGGGCAGTCTTGATAAGGTAGGAAGAGATCAGTGGGAGAACGCTATCACAGATTATCGCTGAGCTGCGAACGGATTTCACCTGGGATACGTCCCAAGAGGAATCTCCGGAGGACAAATCGATTCCTAATGAAATAATTCTCAACGAGCTACACGTCAAGCACGTGTGCGGCATCGCATCGGATCGTTGCCACCAAGGGACTGAAGTACCAAGGTCGCAAGACTTCCAGCCCGGCTAAACGTGTACTGGGATCGATTATGAGGCTGTTGACAGCCAATGTTGTGCAGATCTCCAACAAAATAAAATCTTTCCCTCTACCACCAGGGTGCACCCCTAATCGAAATCTAATTGATTATGCGAACATGTATTGCTTTCAGCCTTTACACGTTTTCCCAGTGGTACACTGTCAAGAGTTCGCCAAGACGACCGTTATTGGAGGTCCTGTGCGCGGAGCTTGGTCATTTGGCTTGTCAAATCGTCGATTGAAATGTCCAAAATTGCACAATCCCCTCGCTGTGTGCGCTGAGGAGTGTCTAGAGGCGTTATGAGCTGCACACCACAATTTGGCAGCGCTCACATCCCTAAAGAGGATGCGAGCTCAGTCCCCATTATCTCCCTGGAAGGATCACGTTTCTCGACACACAACGAGCAACTACCGTCTGCTACCCTACAGGACAACTCCCAAACTGCCAAAGCCAGAAACAAAAGATCAGAAAGCATGTTTTGCAGAACGCGAGTGGTGGTCACCACACGGCATACCATCAGAGGGCTAGTCACATTTACCAATGCTTGTCTGAAGCTGACAAAGCATCAAAATTAATAATAGATATAAAAGTATTGGACTACCCCAAAGAGGAAAAAGAGTTATACACATTGAAGTCTATCAGGGAGGAACGCCACACAGCACTTCTCTAGAGCAGTCAACCATCGCTACAGATGCATCTCCAGCTACCAGAAACATACACACAACAATACCCACAGAGGGCGGACCAACTGATGAGCTCCTAACCCCTGGCGAATCTGATTTGAGAAATTTCACCACCTCGCCCGAAGAGAGTGATAGGATTAAAATAATTATATTTCTGAAGCCATAAAACTTACCGTTCGCTGACGCGGAAATCCAGTAGAGAACTCCAACAACCAACAAGACGAGGTTGTTCGCCGACAGCAGGTGCTGGTGATTTGACATGGTGGCTCACTGCTAGCTGACGCAAGGAAGCACTGATTCGAAGTTAGTTGGCTGTTTCAGCCAGCAATTTCGGTGATGGCGATCTCGCTAACGGGACGTAGTTTGCAACAGGCTCATTCAAATAGCGCAAGACTACACAGCAAGTCACTACAGGGTTCGTACGGAGGAACACGGGGATTATGGGACGTATTGTTTTCCAGGATTGAGATCTTCTGCAACCTGAAAACTCAACGAGGTGCAGACTCTCCCACACACACAGGCCCCAGCTGAGAAAAAATTCTCCTTCAACATGTGCACTGGAATATTAATACTCTCGCACGAGAAACGCGTGACTGTCCTAGCTAGCTGGGCTCAAATTATTAATTTTTTTTAGTTTGCTGAGCGCGCAACGAGTGACAGCGACTGTCTGCATGCAGGGGGTCTAGTCGGGCGATCAATGGACAGCTAGCTAGCTCAAACTCAATCAATTAAGACTGCCCCCATACACACATACCACCACCACCACCGCCACCATCCGGGTCGAATATCGCCTTATCACCAACTGCCTATAGCGAATGGAAGACTTTCGAAGTCCCCAGGCAATCTTTTGTTGTGAGAATTCTCCAAGACTGCACCTGCTCGCAGAGGCATTGCCTTTGTTGAACTCAACTGTCTCTTTGCGTGGGCCAAGCGTGCCAGTTACTCTACCAAGATACATGTACATGAATGGTGGGATGTCCTCGTATCAAAGCCGAATATGTTGTAATTGTGAATAGTAAATACATTGTAGATGTACATGTATGCTCACAATGGCTGCTGCTGTGCCCCCAAGTAACTCTCTGTGTCTGGCCTTTCATTTCTCCTTCAATGATGATTAGTGCAATTCCACCTGTAGTCAATACCGCTGCCGTGTTGGTCCTTTATAATTATATTATTCTTTTCAATTATTATTACTTCTTAGTCTCGGTGTACGTGTGGGTAAACTTGCCAGATTCCTTGATGGCGAGAAAAGTCTGTTTACATTGTAGATCTACACTGTATCTGGTGACGCAGGAATTACTTACATGTAGATGTAGGTGCAAGAATTCAGACAAGCAAAGACAAGCAAGCAAAGAGCCTGTGGTGGTCATTTTCTATCAATAGACCGATCCTCTTATTATTGTCTGGGTTCGAGCAAGGGATCCTGCTGCACACACGCGACCAACCTCACCTCGGCTGTGCGTGACTTCTCGCATGCGAAGTGCAGAGCACGCGAAATCTACATGCAGTGCAAGCCTGTCTACAAAAATGTGACAAGGACTTTTGATTTGAGCTGTTTTGTTTTAGTTTAGACGTCTTCCTTTTTACGACTTCAGGATGCCTTCTCAGGATCATTGCTGCGTTCCTCACTGTCAGAACAGGAGGACGAAGCAAACAAGTCATTTCACTCCTTTCCTCGTGTGGAGCCACAGCGGCCTGGAGCAAGCGGATCCAGGCTATCCCCCGTGAGGAAGGACGTAGTTTTAGGGTCACTCTGAATATTTGAGTTGCAGCGATCATTTCGATCCCGAAATCGAAATCGTTTTGCCCAGCTCTACAAGGGCAGGATGAGTCCAGGAACCCAAACAGCTGTCCTACGGTACCAGGTTTGCTTTTCGCAAGAGAGTGGAGTCTGGGCGCTCTGCTCCCCATGCTCGCAAAACAGTACCTGCTGAGCCTAGTGCAGTTCGGTCATGGAAGTGCAGCGTCTGCATCACGAGCTCCCCATGCTCCCAAACCAGTATTTTGCTGAGAGGCAACGGTACTTTGATATGGAAAGGAACCTGGCTTAGTGCAGTTTGGTCCTGTAATGGAAGTGCAGCATCTGCATCAGGAGCTGGCAGCAAGTAGAGCTCGTGTACAGAGTCTCGTGGAGCAGTTGGACGATGTGAGGACTGGGGTGAAGAAAGCCGAAAAACAGCTTACGTACAATAACATAAAGAAAGACTCTGAGCCGCTCCAGTTTCTGACTGGTTTGCTTTCAGGTGTTTAGACCGCTCTGTGGGACTTCTTTGAGCCTAGCCGAGAAAATGTACTGCGCCACGCCAGATCTGCGAAGACGGAAGCTGAGGGACGGCGGATACAGTTGGAGGCGGCCGTAAATCGCCAATGAGCATGTAATGGAGGCTCAGCTGCTATTGGCATTGACGTGTCTAAGCCTGGGCCGAATGGAACAGAAGCTGGCATGCGTGGCACAAGTTAATCATCCGTTTCACGGTATATAACTAGCTGAGCTGGAAACATGTCTTGTTCCTCCGTTTGGACATGATCCCCATTTGGGCGAGCTGGCGAGATGTTCAGTCATCAATGCCATGTACCGCAAGACATTCTGCATTGTGGATGAAACAGTTCTATTTTGCCATGCACTTAGGGTTCTCGCACCGACACGGCACAAGACCCAACAGATCCTTGCGCTCTTATTTTCTCTCATGGTAACATTGCTGATCACAACACCCGGTAGCCAGTCGCAGATGCAACCAAATCAACCAAGTTCTCTTACTCTTTCAATATTTGCATCGAATGCAGTGATGATTTCAATGCTGTTCACCAGTACAACGCATTACCAGACTGGCATATAATCATGATATTATTATCCATTTCGCAATCACGGTCATTGCTTTCTTAGATCTCCAATCATCAATATCCGACCATAAACCGTCTATCATCTTATATTATCATCATTAGTATCCCGCTACTATCCTCCTCTAACGATGAGCTGGAAGAAACGAAACAGCTGTCTAGGGGCGTAAACAATATCTGTCAACAGAAGTGTCCTTGCTGTGCTGGTGTGTTTATGCTTCGTGCATTAGTTCGGCCAAGAGCGCATGGTGGTGGCGGTTTGAGGATGTAGTACAGCGGAGTATGACCGAAAGCTCTGTCACAATGTATTTTATCAGGAACGTATAGAAACAGAAAAAAACTGTATCTTCATCTTGGGCGTAAACAGCCCGTCTCACATTAAATATACTAGAAAATAGTTCACTCTCAACATGCAGTCTTCCTAAGAGAGAGAGAGAGGGGGGGGGGTATATTCATAGGTTCGAAAGAACCGCACACACACTTTGCTGCAGACAGCGGCAAGCTTTGACCCTCGTGCTTCGAAGAGGGAGCAATCCACTGCGCTACGCGTGCGATTAACAGCAAGCTTCGACTTTTCAAAGGTACGACTCATCACTGGCTCCGGGGTAATGTTCCTGGAACAAATGCCCCATTGCCGACTGAGGGCCAGGGAGCACGCAATCTGCCTTCCTGACCTGGGCGAGAAGTGTTCCAGCACAAGAAGCAGCACGAATCCATGCTGACAAAAACCACCATCACCACCAGACTAGCCGGCACACAGCACACTGTTCTTCAAACACCATCCACTCCGTCCATGTGTTTGCACTGTCCTCCTCTAGCTCTTCACGCTCAACAAACACCACGCACTGCTTATCGTTTTTTTAATGCTTCCTCTGGGTTGGCTAACCCTTCGACTGGACAAAACAGCGATCACCACTGCTATCGTCACCTCATAGCAGTCGCTTCCACCAGTGGCTTTTCCTGTCTTTGCAAGGTGTCCAAGGATGGCTGCTGTTGTCACTACAGGCAAATCAGAGGTACTTTAGTGGCTTATGTCCAACCAGATCGTTGGAAAATCGATTTTTCCACTTCAGGGCTGCTGGTCGCGATCGCGACTTGGTGACTTGGCAGCACCACGGTTACCTTCATAGAAGATGGCTCTGGAGAGGAAAAGGCAGACCAGAAAAAGGTTACTATTATCTTCAGCACCGATCTCAAGGAGAAAGAAATACGGTCTGCTGTAGCCTAGGCACAAAATACATCTCACAACACGATTCGCGATTCGAATATTTCAACAACAACAAAACTCACCTCTGGAGTAACTCCTGTTTGTGGCCCGAGATCGTTCCCTCCCGCGCCTTGAAAAAATCCTGCAGCTGCATCACAGTCCATGTCTCTCTCGGAGACTCTGCTCCTACCAGCAGGAGGTTCAGCACCGCTCGAAGCCATCGCAAACCACTTGAGCTAAGCAGAAGACATTCCAAAACAAACCTGAAACACACTGTCAAAGATGCTGTCACGTTCAAAAACTAGCTCGTTCGCGGGTGAGGTTGCCCCCGTGCTCGAACCCAGTATAATAAGGGGATCGGTCTATTCACAACACGAGATGAATGATTGCCTGCGTACGAAGAATGATTATTCTCCGTGCATACATGTAGAATCTTTTTGATCTTTGATGGAAACGCTGAATGGGGACTTTTGAGTTGTCTGTATGAACAACACTAATCACAATAATGCAACACGCGAGTGAGAATGAAACTGTTGCTTGTCTGGTCGCATGATAATGACTTTCCAGCTACATGTACATGCATCTTTACCAGCCCCCACGCAAGTCTCGTTGAGGGCGCGCTCACACTGCGACCATGATAGTCCATCGGCCAAGTCTCAAAATCGAAAGTGGTGATGCACTGAGCTTCCAACTAAACGCGACCATACCCAGCACGTAGAGAATATATCAGAGAACACTATTCCGTTTGTTGGACGTGCCGAATTCAGTCCAGGGCGTCGATACGAAGCGTTCTTCGTCGCCGAGTTTTTTACTGTGCGCTCCATTTGAGAGTGCGCAGAGTTCTGATCGAGAGTTTTTTGAGCAGATTTTCAAATTTTTGAGGCTGTCAGCTGACAGCTGTCAACCCTAAATGGCACTTAGTATGTGACAGGCAATAGGTTTTGGTGCCTCCGTATGCCTTCTAATAAGTTCTATCTTCCTTCGTTTCACTTCGCTGCTTCGCCCACCACCTCAGGAGATGACAGCGTACCTGCACTAGTCAGCTCTCGCTAACCCTGTCTCTCTTTCTCCGTCTTAGCGCTCGTCATTCGTGTCCTTCTGCTGGGGCGAGCTTGATACTGTTGTGTCGTAGTTTTTAGGCAATAGTGGCTGTTGTTCGCGTGACGATCAGGATTTATGGAGAAAGACGACGACTCGCCAAGTTCCCATGCAGCCACAGACGGCGTAGCAATTCTTACCGCCAACCCTTCGAGCAACGGAACCGGCCTGAGTTGGAAATCGTGTCTGTGTAATTGTGCCACGATACGGATGAAACACACAGGCTCACATGTGACGAGATGAAGATAATCTCAACAGGCTGATGGAAATCCAACAGGCTCACGGGAACGCTGCAGTTATGGTCGGAGACGCGGAGTTATTTAGTCACTGGTAAATGTTGCATCGAGTGCTGTGTGCTCTAACACAATTGTAAAAATCATGAAAAAGCGAAAATAATGCAATGGTGGGGCTGAGTGGTGTTCTGTGGAGGAGACGTCGCTGTCTCAGTATTCAACGCTGGACCCTGTATTTCAAGTCTGTGGTCATGCTCGATCATAAGTTCCTGTATGGCTCCAGTGCCTTCTCAGCATTGTTGGCGGGTAAGCACCTGGATCGTCTCCAAGTACTGCGGCTCTGGTGGCTTGAGGGATGTACGGGTGCTCGCCGTGCACCCCTGCCGGCAATCTGCTAGTGAAGCTTGGTACCTACTGTGTCCGGG